TACATAGTTAGAAAGATCTGAGTTTGCACATGAGAAAACCTCAGTATTTTTAAGACTGGTTTCATTAAATTCTGAGAACCTATTAATATTTATAGTGATAGACATTTGTGTGAAAAAACAGGTTCCACACTATTTAAAAATTAATAACTGTGCTGCTCAACAAAAAGTGATAATAAATGCAAAATAAGTCATTTAGGTCATTAATTACCAAGACTGTGTCTGATAAACTCCCACTTGAAGGAATCAGAGATATTTGGATTATAAATGCAAGTGCTCATTAATATTCTTTGTCAATGTCATTTCCCCAGAGTTATCAATAAATATTGCAGGATGTAAAAATTTATCGAATCGATTAAATGACAGGGGACTCTTTTAGATTTTTATAGGTGTTATGACAGAGAAGAAATAATTATAGTAAATTAAAATGCAAAATAGTTTCTAATTGTTTTTCCAAAATTAATACATAAATTTCCAACTAAAAGAGTTTTTAAAAATCCCAATTTTGTAATATGTATTGAGTGTCACAATGCCCGGGGCCGCAGTGCAGAGGGAAAGGAACGTGCTTCGGCGAGCGGCCGGCAGGGGCGGCGTCGGTGACAAGGCCAAGGGGGCACAGAAAGTGTCCAGCAGATCAGATGGCGGGAGAATGGCGGGTGCTCCAGAGCGGGGAGAGAAGGGTGACGAGGGACCCGAAGGAGCATCTGGAGAAGGTGGCGTGGCTGGCTCAGGAAGGGCATTGGCCCCGAGGCAGTGAGGAACCTCAGCCAGGGGACCCTAAGGAGCCGGTGACCTTCTGATCAAAGCATCACCTTGGCAGCAGCGCCGGGGGTGTTGGGGGGCAGCGATGCTGAAAACTAGTCTAGAGGCTACTACAAAGCTCTAGATGAATTATCAGGGTCTCAAGGTACTGATCTGGGCAACTGGCTGCAGAATGACCACGCTCCCCGGGCTGGGAAGGCAGGAAGAGGGCGGGCTGGGAGAGGACGAGAGTCCAGAGGAAGGGCATTTCCAAATGGGACATGCCTCTCAGCTTGTTTGTCACATGGGGACTGTAGGGAATGATCTGAATAAATCCTACTTCCTGCTCAACTGGCCTGTGATGTCCTGGAAGAATTCTTCGCTGTCATGGCTCTTACCCTGGGCCGAGTTGACTTAAGGGTGTAGACGGTTGTCACAGCGGGCCGAGGGTGAGGCCAAGCGAGAGGAAGGGCTTCAAGAAAGGGGGCCCAATTATTTACATGTCCATTTCCCCCAGACACGGCCAACAGGGAATAGCCACAAGGGGCCTGGGGCGAACTCCAAGAGCTGGATCGCTGCTTTTGGAAAGAGCCTTTGTTTGAATCCTGTGGGCTCAGCAGGGTTGAAGCATAAAGTGAATTTAATTTTTCTAGAAGAGTTCTGAGTGTCTAATGTACTATGTGGAGGAGCTGGTCAGAGATGGGCCATCACAGGGGTCAGGCTTATGGACAAGGACCGAAGGCTGGACTGGGGAAGCCAGGGAAAGGGACCAGGACTGGGTGGGGGAAGATGGCATTTGCCAAAAGGTATTAAAGCCATTCAGAATTCGGAGTCCAGAAACAGCAGCTCTGATTGGGAATCAGGGACCTAGTTTGTGGGGAGCGGGAAGGATGCAGGTCCAGCGGGGTCAGTGAGCCATGCGGGTATCTTCTAGCCAGCAGTCATGCAAGAGAAGAAGAATCCTGGGATGTGAGATGTCAAGCCAAATATAAAAAAAGAGATGGGGGGTAAGAAGCAAGAGGAGGTCAGCAAGAGGTTAGGAGGATTATCGTATCTGTCTGGGAACAACAGAAAATCTGGGGTCCAAAGGCCTGGGGTGCTTGGAGTTGCCACTTATGAGCTCTTAAGAGGACCCTGGCACCACCAGAAAGGGCCTTTAGATATTATTCAGCTCCTGAATGCATTTCTCTCCTACCTCACAGGCTCTCCCCCTCACTGTTAACCACAGCAACACCAAACAACTCCCGCTCTTGGAATGCATCATGCTAGTTCATGCCTCTCTTCCATTGTTTTATCTTCCTAGAAATATGCTGCTACTGCTTTGCCCACCTGGAGAACTCTTCTCATCCTTCAAAACCAAGCTATAATCTCACCTACCCTGATCCTCATAATGCCTTAGAATATTATCATTGTACTTAATATGCTGTATGGCAATTTATTAAAAAATGAAGGTCATTCACCACAGGGTGGCACACAGTAGGCCTGCAATACATGTCTGATAAGTGAGTGAAAGGAGGTGTCCTAATCTGGGTCTCGTTTACCTTTTTCCGGCTGGACTGCTGACACCATAATACAGTCCCCTGACTGATTTGTTTCTAGAGCCTCAACAGGACCGCCTCACTTAGAGGAATATTAACAGCATAGATTCCCAATCTGGTGCTGGCATCAGCCCTGGGGTGACCTCCCAGCCTCCCTGATCTCCACAGCACCTCGACCAGCACTAAAGCTCAGTTCTGCAAAGTGAGAGAGATGTAAGGGCAAGAGATGCTCCTGGCAATGCCAACCACAGATCCTATGCTGGGAGCTGGCTCTTCAGAGGATGGCCTGAAGAAAGAGAGAGATGACTGCTATATAGCTCTAGGATTGGGACTAACTCTGTGTGTGTGTGTGTGTTTGTGTATGTGTGTGTAGGGAGACAATGAGCTCCAAGGAATTTCTGAACTGTTGTGTGGATGGGCATTTTTCTGGGGAGACAGTTCACAGTTTTCATCAGTTTCACTACAAGATCCATGACTATTACATATTAAGACCTACCATTCCAGAAACGTGCCTTCCTCAAGGCAGCTCTGCTCAGAGAACCAGCTGCTGACTTGAGATCACAGAGCTTTGGTAATAGCCAAGGCAGATCACGGAAGGGATCCAGGTTCCCCCAGAGTGCGGCACTTACACACTCCCATACCACCCAGAAAAGCCGTTCTGACGATCAACATTGGGCACAATTTAAGGAAGTCCCATGGTCTAAAAGATCAAGTGCAATAGTGAGAAGAGTGAGCCTTAGGATACCTCTGCAGTGGCCTTCATGTTCCTTAGAACAACAAATATTTAAAAAAAAAAGCAAATCTCTGGGGTCTCACTTATGATGAAAAGCCATGTTGACCTCGTTCTATCAGCCTTGGGCTCAGGAAACGGTAAATAAACAGACAAATCCTGTGCCCTGGCTCTTTTACATTTGACCTTTCCTTTTTCTGGCATAGAAACTTGTGGTTTTAGAAGGCAGCAGAAAAAGGTTTCCATATTAAACGGGCAAGAAGCATGCACACACGCACACACACACGCACACAGCAAATCTAAAACTGGAGAGGCTTGTACTAAACTCTGGGGAATTGAGAGTCACTTTTCACCCACATCCTGTGAGGGTAGAAAAAGCAGAGGAAAAGGTTTCTATTAAAATGTATGTATTCTTTTTGCTTTTTAAGGAAAAACATAAATCACTCATATTCATCCAAATATCTAAATAGCTCAGCTGGATTTGTGTGTGTGTGTGTTTGTTTTGTTTTTACTTGGTTCCCACTGTTTTCCCCTCACTTCTGAAAGGATAATTAAAAAGAAAGTCCGTACAGTGAATCTTTACATCTCAATTGTTACGAGCACATGCTTTGTACCCAAACAGGTGTGGGCTCTGCCACTGACTTGCTAAGTAATACTGGACAGGTTTCTTAACCTCTTTAAGAACCTCATTGCTCATCAATTAAAATGGGAGTATGAACGGTACTGACTTCCAGTGGTTGCTTGAGAGAATAAAATAAAATGATGCATTAAAAAAATCTTAGACTAGCCCAGCACATTCTAAGCAATTCACTAAATGGAAGCTAAAGAATAAGAGCTGGGGAGTAACACCTCTATCAATGAAATAATTCCAAAAACACATCGTGTGTTATTATACATATTACAACACATAGAAAGAAACAAACCCAGAAATGGTAGGGCTGTGCTTCTCAGGGAGAATTCTCCACCTTATACATTACATGGGGTGGTTAGACCGCTTTCCTCAGCTTCAGGTGAGCTTGAGTCTGGCAGAGAAGGGTCCTCCGTCCCTTGCAATGATGTGGGTCACCTGTCCTGGTCCACAGAGGGCCCAGAAAGCCACAGCCTTGAAGGCACCCTTTTTTCCCCAGTGTCCAGGCCCTGTGGGTCCTATCTGCTCTGCCAGAAAGCCCAGGTCAGCCCCAGCGTGCCTTCTGCCCACCTCTACTACGCTCAACTTAGTTGAGAATCTAGATGGTTCTCCTAAGTACACCTGGGCCAGGAAACAATATTCCTGAGAAATTGTTGATGAAATAAATGATCACCATCCTTGAGAACCCATCAGAATTGCACTTCATCTTTTTCATCAAAAGGACTTTTACTTACTTCCTGTAAATTCACCGTCAGCAAAATCTTGCCTGGGTTTTGGCCTTACAGCTTTTCCCCACTAAGGAGAGAAGGCTGGGGACTTCGAACTATGAATTCCTCCTTAGTTTCGACAGTCACACTGGCTAAGTTTGTGTAAAATGGTATCTGCTCTGTTAAACCTCATTCCTGATCGCCTCTTATTCAGATCCCATAAAACACGACCAGCAAACGGGCTCACCACATGGTCAGCATCCAGGGATCCACTTACCAATCCCTCCACAGACACTTTCTCTAAGCTTCTCTCGCCCATTGGAATCTTACTTCTTCCAAGATTTCTACATGGCCCAATCACCGCTTTAAACCAAAATGTCTTTTCCCTCTGGTTTAACTACCTTCCCCATAGAGGTTGAAAAGAAACACAAGCCTTTTTCATTTTATCAAATAAAGCTGACTTAGCTTATTCGTAAAATCAACAGACACTAGACAATTCCCTCCAATCACCCACCAATTCCTTCGACATCAGGGAAGCATGGACCAGCACCAGAGCTGGGACCAATGGGACCCCACGTGTCCACTTCGGGTATTTCTTGCAATTTCTTACATCACCACGGGTGACTTTTTCAAAGGAAATCAGAGCAACATTTCCTTACCCGGCAGTCTCTCTGAAGCGTTTTCATGAGCGCATTGTATGTTTCTGTATCAAAATACAACCCTTCGTGCATGTCTTGCAGGAAATCTAAGTCCTTGAATGTGGGGTTGGATTTCTCTCTCTCTCTTCGGGATGCTCTTCGCTTGTAGGTGGAACCCTTCAGGTCGTATGTGAAGTGCATCTTCATGGCGCGTGGCAGGACGTTGTTCATCACCACGATTCTGATGTTAATGCCCCCTGACTGCATGCAGTACAGTCCATAAAATTTTGGCAAAAGAGTCCTTGGATTCTGGTTTAAATTCTAAAATAAGAAAAAGGAAAAATATCATTAAAATACCCTATTTTTACAAAATAAGTTCCACTAATAGTGTTTTCATCTAATGTGATAATTAAAAAAATGGAACGTGATTATCTTTATTAATGACCACTGCTAAAAGTTTGCTGTTCCTAATCCAGTTCTTCAATTGGCTTATTGCAATAGCAACTTCATCATTCTAAACTCGGGACATTAAAAGTAGCTGAATTAAAAATGGACAGAAAGTCCCAAATTAGCTCCAAGGAAAAATGGGCAAAGAATTGATAAGTGCCATGTGTGACTATTCTCTACGGCACTAAAGAGAAAATTAATTGCTGGGGAATAAAGGATGAACGTTTTACATTTTAATAGCTCCTGAAAAACTGTCTTCCAAAATGGCCAGACCGATTCCCAAGCACACTTTGTAGGATGACACATTTTTCATCGTTCTTACCAGTGCTGAGTATCAAACTTAAAAATCTTTGTAAGCATGACTGGTGAAAAATGAAAACTTGCTTTTAATAATTTGAACACCACTGATCATTAGAAAATTTAATATTTTGATTTATTTTTAGGCACCTCAACCTCAAAGATAATTTTGTGCTAATATCCGTCTCACTGATCATTTTTCCACAGGCTTTTGTCCTTGCTGGAGTCCTTAATATAGTCTAGAGATTAATCATTTTCCCATTCTATATGGAGTAAATATTTTGTCCCAGTGTTTTTTTAATTATAAAAACAAAGAATAAATGCCTATTTTTTGTTCTACTTTAAAAGTAGGTGAGAAATTAAAGGTTTTATATATAATGAAAAGCCTTTCCACTGTGCCCGGTCCATCCCCTAATTCGGAACTCTTGAGGAAATTAATATTCCCACTTTCGTTGTATCATTCCAGAAATATCCTATATGCTAATCTTAATTTTGTGCCTGGTATTGTTTGTTACACATATGTTTTGTCTTTTAATGCAGTAACGTTTATGAACTTGTTTCTTAGTTGGTTTTTTCTTTGGCTTCTTGTTTAACAAAGCTTTATACATCCCAAAGGTAAGTAAAAAAATCTTATTGAAGGACATGTCTTCTATTCTCTTCTAGATCTTTAACAGTTTTGGCAATTACATTAGTTTTTTACACCATATGGAACGAATTTTTTGTGTGAAAGATTTAAATGGAATTAAAATTTTTTTTGCAATGGATAGCCATTTATTGAACAGTCTGTCCTTTCCCAATTGAGCTTAAGTCCCTCCTATATCATACAATAAGTTGTCAAAGCACGTGTGTCTATTTCTGGACACTTTATTTGAATTCACTGATCTACTTGTCTACCACACCTTTAATATTAGTGTAGCTTTATAGATTTTTGATATATGTTAGAGCGGGCCCATCATTTTTCTTTAAAATGTTTTGTCCATTCTTACAACTTTCCCTTCCACTGTTTAATTTTTAAATGCTCTTAAAATAATACTTGTTTTCACTTTCAAATGAATTAACTTTGTCAAGTTCCGGGGAAAATTATATTGCAATTAGACTAGATTTATACATTTATTTGGGGATAACTGAAATTTTTACAATACTGAGTTCAAGAATGATGCATATCTCTTTATTATTTCAGATCTTTTCTATGTCCTTCAATAAGATTTTTTTACTTTCCATCATATTAATCTTTACATTTCTTTTTATAAACTCAAGTAATTTAGAGTTATTATAAAAATTTGGGGGATTATTGTTCATATGTTATGCATACTATAACTTGCTTTCCCAATCAGAATTATAGTATGTCTTCATTTACTTAACTTTATTTTTCTAATAATGTTCCTTATATTATTTTAATCATGAATGGGGTCTTTTCCCCCCTTATATTCTTCAACTCTATATGATCTATATAACAGAGGGCAATGGATTTTGTAGATTTGTTTCATATGTGCTGGAAAATAAACCTAGAAATAACTCGTTTATTTTCTCGAAGTTTTGCTAATTTTCTTTTTTTTAAATCCTTACCCAAGGATATTTTTTCCATTGCTTTTCAGAGAGAGGGAAGAGGGAGAGATCAATATGAGAGACACACACTGGTTGCCTCCCACACATGCCCTGACAGAGGCTGGGGATGGAGCCTGCAACCGAGGTACGTGCCCTTGACTGGAATCAAACCCGGACCCTTCAGTCCACAGGTCAACGCTCTAACCACTGAGCAAAACTGGCTAGGGTGCTAATTTTCAATTTTGTCACTTGTGGAGAACAGTGTTTATACTTTTATTTCTGTACCAAAAATTTATTGCTAGGAATTCTAGCAAATACATCAGAAGGGCCCATTGATGAAGGACATCCTTGTTTTTTTCCTACCGTTTCCAGTGAAAGGGCTCTTGCTCTTCTCAGTGAGATATGTGGCTTTCTGGAGGTTGATAAAGGTATAATATACGAGTATCCACTTACTTACTTATTACATCAAAACACTTCCCTGCCTATTTTTAGAATTTTAATTGAGAAGATGTTGGATTTTGAGAGCCTTAGTTTCTCTTCAGTGCCTATTTGGATAACTACATGTTCCCATCTTTTTCTTGTAATGGGATGAATTATATTGTTTGTTATACTAGCTTACATTACTGGGATAAAGCCACTTGTTCAGCTAAATTTTAAAGTTTTCTTGAATTTTAATTCATTTCAATTTAACACCCACAGAAGAGACTAGTCTATCTAGAACTATAGAAGCTTAGAACTAGAAAAGCTTAAGATTTACTCAGAGGTTAGCAAAGAGTGTGATGTTAGTTTGATTCCAATTTTATTTCATTTAATTAATTTTAAAAAATATATCTTTATTGATTTCAGAGAGAGGAAGGGAGAGGGAGAGAGAGAGAGAGAAACATCAATGATGAGAGAGTCACTGATCGGCTGCCTCCTGCATGCTCCTGACTGGAGATTGAGCCCCCAACCCGGGCATGTGCCCCAACCGGGAATTGAACCCCGATCGTCTGGATCTTAGGTGGATGCTCAACTGCTGAGCCACGCCCGGCCAGGCCCAATTTTAGATTACTTTAAAATGTGTGTATGAGTAGAATACATCTGAAAGGATATACACCAAATTATACCAAATATTAGCAATACGTATCTCTGGGAAAGGAATTATAGATGGTTGCATTCTTTCTCCTTTTCTGTTTTCTATATTTTCTAACAGAAAGTAAAGCATTTGCTCTAAAAATAAAAACTACTTGTCCAGGATCAAAACCTTTTAATCTGTCCTTGAAGATCTGTATTTAGATGTTTGATTCCTGTATTTGCGCGTGGGACTAATTTACTGCATTCAACGTTGCCTCTAGAGGATTTTGAAATTCAATAATCTTTTACATACAAATGAGCAGTGTGGCACCTCATCAATTTTGTTTTGAAATAAAGACGATAGTTGTCACCGTTCATAGTAAGTGAACAGCAGAATTGGGGCTTTTGAAATCTAAACTTCCTGTAGCCATTCCAATCATAGATAATTAATAACTTATGAAAGTACCAAGAAATGAGAGGTATGAAAGTGACAAGATTACTTAGGAAAAGTGTTTATTTTTGAAAAACTTGTGCTAAATGTCTAGTAAATTCATCTGGACTAGGTTACTGTTCCTTTTGGTCTCTAAAACATTACATGAAAGGTGGCTTTCATGTCATCATATTTCACCTGTGAAATCCCAAATTCTGAAGTGTAGTGGTTGTTCGTGAATGCACGCTGGCACGCAGTGCAGGGGTGAAAGATGCAGCCTTCTGGGACCCAACCCCTCATATTCAAGTCTCAGCTCTACGGCTCACTAGCTGAATAACCCCTGGCAACTTATCCTATTTATTTTGGTCTCAATTACTCATCTGCAAAATTGCAATGACTGAAGTGTCCAAGGCTGTTGTGAGGATTAAATGGGCTAATGCGTGCTTAGCACTTATAGCTGTGCCTAATTAACACAGCGCTTAGCACTCAATAAATATTAACTACTCAATATTACCACGTACTGGGTGCAAAAAAGTTCCCGATGAATGCACTGCTTCCTGTATCTTATATCTGGTATCTTTTCTTTATCACAACCACCACATTGAGTAGGTATTTCCCAGCTTTAAAGACTGAGGGGACTAAGGCTCAAAGGTCACCTTGCTGACCACCGTCACAGTCAGTGGATGGCCGAGCTGGGATTTGAACCGAGGACTGAGCGAGGCAGTAGCTGTGCTCGATTACTCAGTTCCATTTTGCTTTTTAAAACCTAGTCCACAAATGTCATAGCCTAGTCTAATGCAAAACAAAGTTCACCAAAGAGAAAGAAACATGCCAAGGGGTTGCTGAAAAAACAAACAACAGAAAGAAACTTTTGAGGAAAGTAATTAAGCGTCGCGTAGAAGCTGGAATGAGGTGCAGCGACTCACCATGTAATAGCCTGGCAGCAGCTTCTGAAGGAACTCGGCCTCTTTATGCTGAACTGTTTTGATGATAAATTCATCGTCACTGGTCACAAAAAACAAGGACCCACTGGCTCCAGGGTTGGACAGCTCTATTAGTGGTTCATTGCAGAGGGAATACTGCAAGAGTAAGTAAGCAAACATCAAAAAAATAGATTTCATGTACATGGTACTTCCAAGGAGGAAAATCACAGCGTTATATACCTTGGCCATTTTGAAACAGAAAGCGCCTCAGGTGTACTCAGAAGGGCCTTTGTGAGATTTTGAAAACTTTCATTGATCCATTTACCTTCATAATACTTGGATGGGACACAGACATGCCCTTCCCACCCCAGTGTTACATGATAGAATCATAAATCATCGCATGTATTCAATGAGATAACTCAAACAGTGTTGGCTAAGGTGCTTGTTTCCAGCAAGTGCCCACAAAATAACAACCAAAGGTAAAATCATAGCAAAATCCGAGAGGAGGGGCGGAAGAGGAGGAGTGAGGAGAAGCTGGGAGAAAAATGATTAAAAGGCAGTTCTCGAGATGTCACCCTTTAGATTATCTTGCTTTGGCGGTGCCGAGGGTAAAGGAAACAAAATCCTCCGAGGAAGGAAGCAGCAGGTGCTGACTGCCTTCCTGCAGGCCACCGGCCACTCCATCTCCTGCCCCCTCCCCCGGCCTCGCTTCTTGCCGGGCTCTTGCTGAGCAGCACTAGAGCCTCAGCCTTTACGGACAAGTTGAGGACAAGGTAGGAAAACAGAAATAGCCATCAGACTGCACAGAGGATGCCATAAAAGCCGAGAGGAAGCAGAGGGCACCTTCCTGCTCTGGGTGTAGTGTCCGGGTCTCAGGGTGACCAGTGGCAGGGGCATGGGACCTGGAATCAACTGATGTTTGTAAAATCGTGGCTCTGCCAGTGGCTGCTTATGTAACCTCGAGTCCGTAACGTAGCATCTTAGAGTCTAAGGAATCTCATCTCTAAATAATACCTAGGAGAAAGCAGCTGAAAGTTTTAGAGTGGATGCTTTCGAAACCGCTGGCAAAGACAGACCGCTTAGCTGTGGCTGGTGCTATTTTTTATTACATGGCCACATGCAGGGAGACAGGCACACGACCTGCAGCACCCAGGCAGGCAGGGAAGGGCTGGCGGTGCCTTAGGGTGTCCTGAGGGCCTCAGCCCGACTCCTACAACAAGAGGGCCACCCACAAATACACCGAGACATTCTTAGAGAAATGAGAAAAAAGGTGGGTCTTTTCTATGGTCATGAATTGGAGACCCTGGAAAATAAAGGTCTTGAAGAGCAAAGGCAGAACACAGACTGTCTCTAGAAATTCTGAATTCTTTGTTCCATGGGGTTTGGACTCTTGGCTCAGAACCTTCTCATGAATAGCAGTAAATGTGAAATACAAAAACAAAGAATGTGGAAATTACAGGCTGCAAATAGAGAAATTAGGGGGTGATTCAGGAAGAGCTGTCTAGAGAAAAGTGGATTCAGACCTGAACATCTGCTCCCAATTAGTCTCAAACTCTTCCACAAGCAGTGACATAATATGGAGATTATTTCATGGGTTACTTAATTGTCAAATACTCCTTTATTATGTAATTTAGAAATTAATACGAAGGGAAAAATAAATTGTTCTGACGCATTTTAATAACCTTCTGGGGAGTCTCTAGGAGCACAGCATTAGTGCGCAATAAACTGGCATCATGAGTACTACCACAGTCGGCTATAATTCTATGGTTTCTCAACCTACCATTCTGTTACCATGTTCTCTTCGAAGCAACCTTCACCTAAATGTTGCCTTTTAAGAGCAAGTGAGGAGGAGAGATGGGAACATTTTAATTGGCCACGATCAACAAGCCCCCGTGCACTCCGGGTGTTGCGTGCCTTCCGGGCACTTTGATGTGTGCCAGCTGTGCCAGCGTTTTCATTCTCTGCCTTCTGTGCCCTGCAGGGCTCCCTCCCATACCCACTGGAGGGACGCGGGGTACACCCCTGCCGGGCCCCGCCACGGCAAATTAGCAATGTAAACCTGCTGCCATCATTTCTCCTGCCATTTCTTCCCCTTGACTGTGTGAAATATCCACCCTGCTCTCTTTCTTACTGCTATCAGTGAACCTGAAAAGACATCATATAAATCACCTGGGTTTCGGTGGAAAGGGAAATGAACCAAAGGCTGTTGCCCAAGTAGAGATGGGAAAAAGGCTCTGGGCCCCTCTGCCTTCCCTTGGGAGGTGTTTATTTAGGAACAAAGAAGGAAGGAAAAGCGTTTGCCTGCTCAGTGGGGCACGCAGAAGCACCTTCACCACGTTGTCTCACAATACAAATTCTGCATGTTTCAACATGACCCTCGCAATGGAGCTGAATTTTAATGGAACTGAGAACATAAACAGAGTAATTCAGACTGAAATCCAGATGCAACAGCAGAAACCTAAGGAGAGTACACACATATCACGGGGATCCAGTATCGAACCTATCTAGAGAGTCACCAGTCACTACATGTTATCCTCTCCTTCCCCCACCTTTAGATCAGTGTATCTTCATAAATTTGGGTTTAAGTAGCCTATTTGACATAGCAGGAAGCATCTGGTAGAGATTTGCACTGTATCCTTTTGTGATTCACTTTTTCAAGGGATGTCTTATTTCATTTCTCTGTGCTTTATTTGGGCTTAACTCCTCCAAAATGCACTGTCAGGGGTGTTTGAGCTCTTCAGAATGGATAATCACAGATCAGAGTTTGATGGGCTAGGGAGTGCCTACCTTGAGACCACAATTAATGACAGGTCTGTAACTTAGTGGGTTGGGAATCATGAGGCCAGATGGTAAAAGGAAAGGAACACAGGGGGTGGGGGAAAAGGGGAGACCACTGTTCTGGTATGGACACTGTCCTCACCAACACGGGTAGCCTCGGCATCTCCCTTCACTGACCCAGCTTCAGATTCCTTATTTAAAATGAAGGGTTGGGCTAAAATGTCTCTGAGGGTTATACCTGACTTTCTGAAGCAGGCTGTGTCATGCAAAAGACCTTTCCTCACCCACCACACTCCAGATCATTGGGTGGGGGCCCAGATCGAGTGGTTTGGAGGTGAGTGCCTAGAGGCTCCAAGACCTATAGGGGGAGCTGCTTCAGTCCCGGGCTGTGGGTGCCCCCAGCGCAGGGCAGGTGGGTAGCTGTAGCCACTGGGGACCAGACCATGTTTACCTAGAGAGTCACGGCCCTTTCTGTGTTTCTTGCAGGTCCCAGACACGGCCCAGTTATCGAACTGTATGTACAGTTATAAGGCAGGTGGAAAATGAAATCAAACAAAAGGATACTTACTTGCCTGGTCCTATCTTTTTTCCCCCCACTAACTTTTCATTATGGAAAATTTCAAACATGTATAAAAGTGAAGAAAACTGTATAATCAACATCCATGTGTCTGTCTTTTGGTTTCAACAATGATCAACTCATGGACAATCTTGGTTTCTCCACATCCCCAGCCACTCCCCTGCCTGCTCCCCTCAGATTCTTTTGAAGTGAATTCCAGACATCAGATCGTTTCATCCATGGATATTTCAGTACATGCCTCTAAAAAACAAGGACTCCTCCTTTAAAGCAGAACCACGATACCATCATCCCAGCAAAAAATAGTTCCTCAGCATTGTCAAATATCCAGTCAGTCTTGACATTTCACTAATTTTCTATAATTTAAAAGAGCTGTTTATGTGAATTATCTGGCCCTATCTTTCCAATATTCCTCATCAAAACCTTCCCCTCCTGCTGTATTGGCCCATTCCTTCTAAGTATTTAACACATTTGCATTTCTGGTATCAGAGTCACCTTCCCCTGGCTCCTTCCAACATCTTTCTCTTCTTTTCCTTCAAATCCCTTATAGTATAAAAATTACAGTTAAAACACATCACGCCCATAAGAAGCCTTCCTAAGCGTTAATCCAACAGAGAGAGGCCCCACCCTTCTCTTAAAAGCTCTGGAACTTTTAATGTGTGGCTTCGGTGTTTATTTACTGCCTGGTCGAATGGTTGTTTTCCCATGTAAACCAATCATTCCAACTGAATTCTAAGTTCTCTGAGTATTATGAATTATAACGTTTTGAATCTCCCTATAATTATTAGCAAAGTATTTCAGTTACAGTAGGTGTTCAAAATACTCAAGGAGCCCGGTTGGAGTGGCTCAGAGGTTGAGCATTGACCTATGATCCAGGAGATCAAGGTTCGATTCCCGGTCAGGGCACATGCCCAGGTTGCAGGCTCGATCCCCAGTGTAGGGCGTGCAGAAGGCAACCGATCAATGACTCTCTCATAATTGATGTTTCTCTCTCTCTCTCCCCTCTCTCTTCCTCTCTCTGAAATCAATAAATATGTATTTTAAAAAACAAACAACCCCCCCCCC